CCTTTATCACTACTCTTGTTCAACATTGTGCTGGAGGTCCTAGCCAGAGCAATTAGGCTAGAAAAAGAAATAAAGGGCATCCAAATTGGTAGGGAAGAAGTAAAAGTATTTTTATTTGCAGATGATACGATCTTATACACAGAAAACCCCAAAGAATTCACAAGAAAACTACTGGAACTAATAGAAGATTTCAGCAAAATATCAGGATACAAGATAAACATACAAAAATCAGTTGCATTCCTCTACACCAACAAAGAGAGCCTTGAAGAGGAAATTACCAAATCAATACCATTTACAATAGCCCCCAAGAAGATAAAATACTTAGGAATAAATCTAACCAGAGATATAAAAGACCTATACAATGAAAACTACAAGACACTACTGCACGAAACCAAAAGAGAGCTGTGTAAGTGGAAAAACATATCTTGCTCATGGATAGGAAGACTCAACATTTTGAAAATGTCAGTTCTACCCAAAGCAGTCTACAGATACAATGCAATTCTGATCCAAATTCCAACGGCAGTTTTTAGTGAGATGGAGAAACAAATCCAACTTCATATGGAAAGGGAAGAGGCCCCAGATAAGTAAAGCATTACTGAAGAAGAACAAAGTGGGAGGCCTCACACTACCTGATTTTAGAACCTATTATACTTCCATGGTATTCAAAACAGCCTGGTACTGGTACAACAGATACATAGACCAGTGGAACAAATTTGAGAATGCAGACGTAAATTCATCCACCTATGAGCAGCTGATATTTGATAAAGGCCCGAAGTCCATTAATTGGAGAAAAGACAGTCTCTTTAACAAGTGGTGCTGGCATAACTGGATATCCATCTGCAGAAAAATGAAACAAGACCCATACTTCACACCATGTACAAAAACTAACTCAAAATGGATGAAAGACCTAAATATAAAATTGAAAATGATAAAGATCATGGAAGAAAAAATAGGTACAATGCTAGTGTATGGCATAAACAGAATACAAACCATAAGTAACAATGCATAAACACCAGAAGAGACACTAGATAACTGGGAGCTCCTAAAAAATCAAACACTTATGCTCATCAAAAGACTTCAACAAAAAGGTGAAAAGACAACCTACAGACTGGAAAAAAATTTTTGGCTATGACAAATCCAATCAGCGTCTAATCTTTAAAATCTACAAGATACTGCAAAACCTCAGCAACAAAAGGAGAAATAACCCAGTTAAAAAATGGACAAAGGATATGAACAGGCACTTTGCCAAAGAAGACATTCAGGTGGCTAACAGAAACATGAGGAAATGTTCACGATCATTAGCCCTTAGAGAAATGCAAATCAAAACTACAAGGAGATACCATCTTACCCCAACAAGGCTATCATTATGCAAAAAACACAAAATAATAAATTTTGGAGAGATTGTGAAGAGGCTGGAACACTTAGAAACTGTTGTTGGGAATGTAAAATGGTACAACTACTTTGGAAATCAATTTGGCACTTCCTTAAAAAACTAGAAATAGAAGTAACATATGCTCCAGCAATCCCACTCCTTGGAATATATCCTAGAGAATTAAGAGCTGTCACATGAATAGATCTATGCATACCCATGTTCATCGTAGCACTTTTCACAATAGTAAAAAGATGGAAACAACCTAGGTGCCCGTCAATGAACAAATGGATAAACAAATTATGGTATATTCACACAATGGAATACTACAAAATGATAAAGAACAACAATGAATCTGTGAAACATCTTATAACATGGAGGAATCTGGAAGGTGTTATGATGAGAGAACTCAGTCAGTCGCAAAAGGACAAATATTGTATAAGACCACTATTATAAAAACTCAAGAGAAAGTTTAAACACAGAAGGCAACATTCTTTGATGGTTACGAGGGTGGAGAGGGAGGGGGAAAGGGTTACTGGCTAAGTAGAAAGTAGACAGGAATTATCTTTGATGAAGGGAAGGACAGCACACACTACAGGGGAAGTCAGCACAACTGGACTAAACCAAAGCTGAGAAATTTCCTGAATACAACCAAACACCTCAAGGGACAGAGTAGCAGGGGTGGGGGTCTGGGGACCTTGCTTTAGGGGACATCTAGGTCAATTGGTATAATAAAGTTTTTTAAGAAAATATTCAGCATTCCACTTTGGTGAGTGGTGTCTGGGATCTTAAAAGTTAGTGACTGGCCATCTAAGATGCATCTATTGGTCCCCACCCATGTGGAGCAAAGGAGAATGAATAACATCATGGACACAATGAAAGTATTAGCCCAAGAGACAGAAAGGGCCACATAAACCAAAGCCTTCATCAGCTTGAGACCAGAAGAACTAGATGGTGCCCGGCTACCACCAATGACCACCCTGACAGGGAACACAACAGAGAGTCCTTGATGGAGCAGGAGAAAAGTGGGGTGCAGAACTCAAATTCTAGTTAAAAGACCAGACTTAATCGTTTGATTGAGACTGGAGGGACCCTGGAAGGTGTGACTCCCAGGCTCTCCGTTAGCCCAAAACTGAAACCATTCCCCAGGCCAACTCTTCAGACAAGGATTAGACTGGACTATGGGACATAAAATGATACTTGTGAAGAGTGTGCTTCTTAGCTGAGGTAGATACATGAGATTATATGAGCAGCTCTCGTCCGGAGGTGAGATGAGAAGGCAGAGAGGGTCAGGAGCTGGTTGAATGGACATGGGAAATCCAGGGTGGAAAAGAAGAGTGTGCTGTCACAGTATAGGGAGAGCAGGTAGGGTCAGAAAACAATATATGTATAAATTTTTGTATGGGAGACTAACTTGAATTGTAAACTTTCACTTAAAGTACAAGAATAAAAGGAAAAAAAAAAGGAATGAAGTACTGATTCATGCTTCAACTTGGATGACTATAAAAACTTTATGCTAAGTAGAGACTTGGGTTTGATTCCCAGCTAGTGTACCTCCTATGCAGCCACCACCTGTCTCTCAGTGGTAGAGTGTGTATTGCTCTGATGCTGAACAGGTTTTGGTGGAGGTTTCAGACTAAGACAGACTAGGCAGAAAGGCCTGATAATCTACTGCCGAAAATCAGCTAGGGAACCCTGTAGATCACAACAGTCCGATCTGCAATCAAACATGGAGATGATGCAGGTCCGGACAGTGTTTGTTTCCATTGTGCGTGGGGTCGCCATGAGTAGGAGACCAACTCAACAGCAACTAACAACATGTGAAAGAAGCTAGTCAAAAAAGGCTACACATTGTATGGTACCATGTGGTATCATTGATTTTAAATATCCAGAATAGGCAAATCCATAGAAACCAAACACAGATTGGTGGTTGTAGAGGCTGGGGAAGGGAAGTGACTGCCAGTAGTTATGGGGTTTCTTTTTGTGGTGATGAAAATTTTCTGAAATTAGATAGTGGTGATAGTTTTACAACTCTGTGAAATGTACTAAAAGCCAACATGAAAACAGTGAATTTTATGATATGTAAATTATATCAGTAAGGTTTTTTTTTAAGAAGAGAATGTAGGAATGGATATAGTAATTTATGATCCATGTGAATAAATGCTGACTCTAACGATAAGAATGAAAAGTGACTTTTAGAAAGAAGAAAGAACAATGCAAATAAAAATAATCACCCACCTCACAAGTATATAATAAAAGATTGCTGCTAGAATTAAATCGTTTATACTCCTTTTGTTGCACTTCTCATAGCACTTTGCTTGTGTCTTTTTCAAGTTACGTATTTTATTTTGCCTTTTATTAAAGCTTAAATATTCCTAACCACTGGATTGCACTCTCCAAGGGCAAGGATTACATCAAATTTGTTTTTACTTCCACAGTACTATGTTCAATGCTTTGTGTATAATAATTTCTCAGTAAAATTTGTCGATGAATAAATAAATGCTGTGGTATAAATGTGTTATGGATCCTTTCCTAGTACTCAATTTTAGAGATTTTACAGTTTATACCTATATTTTCCTGTAGGCCCTGAACAATTCCTGTTGATAGGATTTATAGATAGCTGGAAGTACTTAGAAATTATTCAAAATGGAGTCAGGAGATCTTTTGTGAATCAGACTTATGTGCTCAAACTTAGGGGGATCTGAATCTCCAAGTCAAATGAGTATCAGTACAGACATTCCTCAGGGCCTGGGTGTAATTCTCAATTAATAAGACGATGACCAGATTTATATCAGACTAGTTTCATTTTGAACATATATCATGTTTCCCATGTGGAAACAGTCATATTGCCTCAAGAGCAGAATATTAGAATTGTCCCCTTGTTTACAGTTTCCAGAAGCACTTGGAAGTAAAATTCTTAAGAAAATTGTATTATTAAATATTTCTAATCTTTGTCTTTGTATTAAAATCATACAAATTTCTAAATAAGTGAGGTTTTCAGATGCTTAGATGCTCCATTTTTTCTTAATAAAAATGCACAAAACCCATACTTTTTTACTTATACTTTTCTTTTTTCTGGTTCTCTGCATTTATCATTCATCTTTGTAGTTAGGAATTTTCACTTTTGTTACTGATTCCTCTAACAGAATATAATAAATGAATCTATATTTTTTCTTAAAAATCCTCACATGAATTTGCCTAACAGTAATAATTCAGTTTAAGTTAATTGTGCCTCTTCAGTTACTTAATATTGGAATAACATTACTGTCTATATATTTATACTTTTAAAAGTTTATTTAGTTTTTTCCCAAACCAATTTCTTAAATTTTATTTGTCCTGTTCGATCCACAGTAAGCTGTGAATGCATGGAATTGAGTTTTAACAAACGCATGCATATAGTGTAGATTTTTCGAACCACAAAAGAACATAGAATAACAGCTTAAAATTAACAGGTAATTTTCAAAATATGTGTGAGTTTCTTAGTCTTATTAGACTATTCTTAACATTGAACTATAAGTTAGTTTTTTTTCCTTTACGTATTTAAACATAAACTACATATTGTCAGGTAAAGTTTGCTCTAGGTACATGTGTATTTGGATATGCTGACCACATCCATGTTTGTTTCTTGCAGGGGGACATCCAGCAGTTGTTGATCTCAGGTGACCCCAAAGCAGCGTATGACTACTGTGAGCATTACAGTCCAGACTGTGACTCTTCAGCGCCCAAGGCTGCACAGGCTCAGGAACCTCAGATAGATGAGGTGAGGAGCACAATGTCAGGCAGTTTTTCTCATTTCAGTGTTAAGGAATAGCCTTGTCTTTAAAAAATATATATGCTTACTTATTCAGTTTTAATTAAACTGTACTTTTTATTTAATAGTATCCTAATATTCTAAAAAGAATGATTTGAAGATTTTCTTTTTTCTCTTTTCCTCTTGTTTAAATAGATTGTTACTTGAAGTTATTAAGGTTTAGTTTGTTACTGGAAGTTATTAAAAACAGAGATAACTCACTTATATACTGTGTATATAAGCATATGCCATTTTTGGGGGGTGTGAAAAAAAAATTTTTTAAAGTTATATTTATGCCCTCAGCATTTAAATAATTAAAACTGCTTAAAGATAATGACTACATGTCTTCCAGCGTACTTGCCATTTCCTCAGGCTTTTGACAATTCATGAAGATTAAAAAGTGACATTATTTTCACTTCATTTGAAATTCAAGTGTGAACGCATTCTTCTAGAGTACTTTTTTTTAATAAGCAAAATCACCATAATGAAATTTGACTGTATTCTCCTTCAGACTAAAGATACATATATCTATGTCAGATCTAATTATCTCAATAAACAAAAAATATAGTACAGTGTAGCCTTTATCCAGAATTCTAGGTAAATACCTTTGATGTGGGATTTTCTGGAAATTAAAATGCAGCTAGACTGGAAGAGATTTTAGGCTTTGGTTGGAAACAAGACTATACTTTTAGATTTTATTTTTTTCCAAAATGGAGAATATTAAATTTTAGAAGGGTCAGTGTATGAAAATGTCAGAACTGTCCTTATGTTTGAAAGCAGCTCTAATAGCATTTTTCTTCTCTTCTAAATATACTATAAGGTGTCACCTTTTGAATTTTACTATCTAGAATAGGATAAGATCTTGTGTCATAATTTATTGTTGTTATTTATGCATATGAATCCAATTTGGATTTTACAATTCAAATATTTGAAATAAAATTTTTGACATCATTTTTTCAGATATGATGTGAATTCTGTTGCACTGATCTTTTCCATGAAGTAATATTATTACTTTTTAAAGCAGGGTAAAATATCACGATGCCAACAGGAAGGAAAATAAGAGAGAGGAAAGGGAAATTACCTGGATATTTGTGTTTGTTTCACAGTTCTGAAGTGCTTCATTCTTTTCATTTCCTCATGATCATTTAAAATGGTTTTTTATGAATTCCAAGAAGATAGCTAAAATGCCCAACAGGTTCAGTGCTTTTATATCTGAGAGGTTATGTGGTGTTTTAATATTAAAATAGATAGCATTACAATGTACGTGTTCATGATGGATGACGTTTATTTTATTCTGTTTTGAAAAAGATAAGGCTTATTCTTTTGAATAACAGATATGGCTCTGATTTTTGGAAGAATGAAGGTATGCATTCTTAATACATCATCATGAGATGTTTTATTCCTATGTTTTAATGAGGTTACTTGAGGCAAGCTGAGTTATTTTAAAGCAAAATAATTCATTTTCTAATCTTAAATTCAGTTAGAAGTAGACTTACCTTTTTTATTTTAGTTGTTGATGTGTATATCTAACATGCTGTTGAGAAGCCAAACTTGCTTTCAATAGAAGCATTTGATGGGGAAAATAGCACACTTCTATAATAGACACTGCCTGGAAATCTACTTGGGTAATTCAGTAATAGAAATCATTTTTTACTAGTTTCTATATTGAATGTGTCACAATGAAAAGTTTTTTTTTTTTTTTTTTAAGAATAGTTCTCTATTTTTTCCCTAGCTTCAAATTACAGTCATACTTCAATAGTGAGATTCCCTTCTCTAGTAGTATATATATACACATATGTATATACATATATATGTACACATATATATATAATTTAATTTACCATATATATGTATATATATAAGTTAATTAAATTAGCAAGGAACCCTCAAATTAATTTTGAACTGTATGCGTTATATGTCATTGTATTACAAATTTGGATTTCAATAATTAATCTATAAATGTTCTATCTATCTGAGATAGGAATGCAGTATTATTTGCCAGTAAATACAGAACATAAAGTGCAATATAGACTGTCAAACATACATGTTGTGCTTTATGCTTCTTAATTTTCCATTAATAAATTTGTGATATTGGAAATTTATTATTCTAATTTAGACTAATGAATATAGAAATTCTTTTATAAGTTTGAGTATGATTTTTCCAACCTGTAACTTTTACTAGTTTGCATCCTCTGAATAACATAGTCTAATCCATTTTTAAAATTCAGTCGGTTACATGCTTGGCAAAGCATTGCATTAACTTCATATATTGAAGAGTGAGAGATGTATAATGTAGACAGATTAAAATTTAGTAATACCATCATCAAAAGTTAATTCTATTTGAAGCTATACATTAAAATTTAAATAAAAGAGTAACCAATATTAAAATTATGATTTTTCATCAAGTAAAATTATCTTCCTAACTTGCAAGTAGTTTAGTTTATATATGGCCCTTTCTTAATGTTTTACACATATGTAATGCTTTATCTGTAGTAACAATTAACATTCTTTTTTACAAAGGATGAAAAGGAAAATTGAACAAAGGAAAGATGATCTATAAAGAAATTAAAAAAAACCCTGATTTCCCAATACTTTTTACTTTAACCTTAGTTTCACTTAATTGTTAGTGCCATGCAGTCATTTTTGACTCAGCGACCCCATGTCACAGAGTAGACATGGCTATAATCTTTATGGAAGCAGATACCATTTCTTTCACCCATGAAGGAGCTGGGTGGGTTCAAACCTAGAACCTTTCGGTTAGCAGCTGAGCGCTTAACCATTTGTGCCACCAGGTCTCTTTTTTCACTTAATAGTTATCATATATCCTAGGTTTCCTAGCATAGGTTTTTACTAATACCACTAAATTTCTAACAAGTAAGGACAGACTTTATAACATTTCCAGAAGACCCTTTCTTCTCAAACATTATAGTTTCTGCTAGTCTACTCACAGGTCAAAATTGAAATCATTCCATCACTGTCATGTCCATTTACATATATTCCTCTGAATGATTGCAACTAGTTCTTTCTTCTTTACCTGTCTTCAAGGCGTCCTCAAAATTCCATAGTGAGAAGGGAGAATCATCTCTTAAAAGATAGGTTGTAAGGCTTCACATAGATCAGCAGATCCCCAAATATAGTCAGTACCACCCACAGGGGGTTAAGGAATTGAGGAGAGCAGAAGTGGCTTTTTTTTTCTTCTTTTAATTGGCTCCTGAGTAAGTTTTAAGCAAAAGATGCACTTTAGTGCCTGAGGAGGTGAGCATGCTGTTTTCACCATTAATCCACAGCTAATCTGGCGGATCTCCATTTGGAAAGAATTCAAATAGAGGAAAGAGTTGAGGGGGTTAGAAGAGGTTTCCACCTACAAGAGAAAAACATGATTTCTAGTATATTGGCTACTTAGGTACAGGTTTACATATAGCCCTGACTTCCACGCCTTATTTAAAGTGCGGTTAAATTATCCATTTTTAAAATCAGGCCTTTATGCCTTTATGTACTGCTTTTTGTTTTTACAATCCATTATAGATACACATGATTCTAAAAATTCTTTTAACTTTTAAAATTATAAAGTTTACAGTTAATTGGAAAATCTTTTTTTGTTTGTTTTACTTCCAGTTGGCAGCCAGTAATTATAGAAATCCAATATTTCTTGTTACAAAATGGTTGACCATAACTTCAGAAAAATTATTCAATAGATCATATTCAATCTCATTAGTGTCTATTTAATATGTAGTTAAATTTAGTATTTAATTTTTGTTTATTTAATGATGTTATTAATAAGGCTTACGTTACGTTTCCTAGAAAGAATTGACATTATACCTTGCTTGCATAGACATGAAAACACAAAAATGTTTAAATGTTATATATAGGCATTTTTCTCCTTTACCAAGTAAAAACAAGCTGTGTTGAATCATTTCAAATGTATATTCATTGATAATGAAACTATTACTGTAGGGATAAATTTTAAATCTTTTCCAGTACATTTTATCAAATTGGAGTTTTAAAGAACACTAAAGTCATGTTTATGTTTATATTCTCATATGACTTTTGCCTTATTCACCTAGAAAAATTCTTTCCAGTGACGGTATTTCCTTAAGGGCCAGAGTGCATAATGTTGCTATGGGATGGGTTTTAGGCATGCCACAATATATGTCTTTGTTAACTTTGTTCATTTGAATCGCTATTACTAATAGAGCTCATCGGAGGGCACAGTGGTCACTATTCTCTAATAGGCTGGTGGTCAATAGATTTTGCTGACAATTAACAGCATTTAGCTGAAATGCCAAAAGATGTGCATTTGGGACATAATTGGAATTTTAACAAATAAAATACTTAGGGAATTCAAAATAAGTTGCTTTTAGCATTAAAAAATATGTATTAGAATTCTAATTGAGTTTGTGCTGAATTTTCCATGTCATGTATATGATCTTAGTGTATTTGTAGCTAGTTTTTTCATTAAAACCAGTGCTTAATATATGTATTCATATTCTTGATTGAAAATTAAATTTTTTCATAGAGAAATTTTGCCTTTCAGGTGAACACATTATTTTCCTCATTATTCAATATATATGCATGTCTTGCATGTTTCTCTGTTAGAAAAATATCTCTCCAATTAAATTATTTTAACTTATAAAACCTATTTCCAACGTGAATTCAGTTTAAATAGATATCTAAGTTGTGTGCTCTTGTTCCTACTGAGAATTGAGCAGTAATTTTACAGATTAAAGTAGTTTATTAATTATAAGCAAATCTGACTTTGAGTTGTTTAATATTTCACAAGCATTCTGTGCTTATTTTGGTGTTAAGTGAGTCCACAGGAAATCAGAGATGTCTGAATAAGTTTTTTACATCTTTTTCCATTGATCCCAGCATTCCTGTTAGATTTTAGATTCATTTTGTGTTTCGTGTCTTCTTCTTCCCTCCTCTCCCCTCTTCCTTCTCACCATAAGACCTGAAAGTTCTTTCATACTAGGGAAAATTACTCTCCATGTTTTTATTTTTAAATGTGCAGTTAAATTTAAAAATATATATACCCATTCAAATTACTGTGAAATTCTTATGGAGGAACAGTGTATAACAATTTTTATGAATCAAAATTAACATAAATAGTTTACAACTATGTCCATGTATATAATTGCTAATATTAATATTCAACACCTACAGTTTCCTCACAGTCCTAACCACTATTCTGCTCTTAGAAAACTTGCTTTTTTACTCCTATGTTATTATACTGTGTGTAAGAAAGTATAATACTTCTGTCTAATACACACAATACCTTTTAAAGAATGACCGTATTATCTTGTCTCTTAACGTTTACTCCAAGTAAAAGTTAAGATGATTCCCACTTTGTTAATATATTACTTGCAACTAACACAGTTGACTGATATTTTTTCCTTTGCAATGTAGTATGAACCTGAGGATATAATCGAATATGACTATGAGTATGGGGAAGCAGACTATAAAGAGGCTGAAAGTGTAACAGAGAGACCCACTGTAACAGAGGAGACAATAGCACAAACAGAGGTAAAAACAAAGTAGCTCCTTTGTATGTGGTGTCCTGCTGTTTGTTGTCCTGTGGTTCCTCATGTTGTCTGTTCCTCAGACTTATCATAAACTTTTCATTCAGCCTATTTCTACAAACCAATAACTGATTTTTTTTCACAGTAGCAGTCCAGAAGGAATGATGTTCATTTTGCTTACCCTTCCTTTCATTCACGCTCTTTATTTCCCTTTTCATTTTATTTATGTTTTCCATTCCATCTTTCACCACATTTTACAGAAAAAGAAATCAAATTTCAAAAAGAAGACGAGGACAGTGACTACTAAGTCAGAGGAAAAGTCCAAAAAGTTTACACCCCCCAAATCTGAAAAATTTGCATCCAAGAAGAAGAAAAGTTATCAAGCAACAGCAAAAGCCAAACTAGGGGTAAAGGTAGCAAAGAAAAAACAATCAAGATCTATCCTAGATAAGCTGGAAGATCTCTGATGATAAGTCATAGTCCTAACCCAACTAGATAAATACTCATTTGGCTAATACTGTAACACAATTAAATCATGATTTCCTTATATTTGATGTTGCTTTGCTTTTTTACTAATTGTTTTCCTTTTGAATCTATCATTAGGTGAATATCATTGACGATTTTCAAGAATACAACTACGGAACAATGGAAAGTTACCAGACAGAATCTCCTAGACGTGTATCTGGTACAAATGAGGTAATACACATAGACAGGGTTCAGTCACCATCCCACTTTTCAAAATGGGTAGTAAACCTTGACATATCTCACTCTGGATGAATCTATAATCTCTGAACACTTCAATGTTTTCTTTCTTTTATAGAGGTAAGAGAAACAATAGCATTGGTTTGCTATTACTGAAAGCAGTTCATTTCAAATCAATTCCAATTCAGATTTTGCATGATACTTTGCTTCATGCAATTGCTAAATTGATCAAACTGAATTGGCTGCTTTCATTCTCTTGCTTGCTCCTGGACAGCGGGTTCTCAACATGTTGTGACAATGGGTTTTCACAACATGATCTGAGGTTGAGGAGGAAAATCCTTTAAAGTGAAAATTGTATGATCAAATGATACAATTAGAGTTTATTCCATATGACCAATAATCATGCATTTTTGTGACAACCAGTGTTTAGAAAAATGTAGTCTTAATACATTTTAATAGCTCTTTACATTTCCAAATATGTTAAGGATGTGATGTTGTTTAGGATTAAAATAATATATCTTAACTTTTTCCATTACTTTCTATGAAAATGTTTTAATACATAGAGGTACAAACCGAACAGTCTTCCTGAATGACACACTAAACATACATTCTAATTCTGAAAAAATGAGCATACGGAGTTCAGTTTATATTTGCTAATATATCTGGCATATAATGCTTTATAATTTTTTCAGAAAATGGGTATGAGGATTATCTGAGTAATTTAGTTATTAGAAAATTTATGTAACATGTGTTCCAATGAGACAAACTAGTGGTGCTTTACATGCAAACAGATAATTTAGAATAATAAAATTTTAGGGCAAGAATGAATTTTAATGTTTATCTAGTCCAAATTAATACTTTTCCAAAAATGGATATCTTGATAGAAGATATTTATTTACCTACCCAGATTCATCCAGATCTTTAGTTCAGAGCTATGAATATAGTAATATTCTGACCCTGGATAATATATGACTTCTGTAGATGGTATATTCTCCTTATCTATGAGTCCAAATTTTATGATCACTGAACATTTACTAAATTAACCATTTATAGATATATTTTCATTCACATGTTTGTAGTGTAATACCATATAATTCTTCAATGAAACTCTGTCATCTAGACTCACTGAGTCATAGAAAACAAGTTATTTAAAAATGAAATTCAAAGACTAGCAAGACAAAACATTTAATTTGTATATCATCATAATCATAAGACCAAAGAATTTGCATAATACGTATGATTTAGATTTGTGATATTAATAAGGAATTGCTTATGAGAAAAATAAAATTTTATGAGATTTTACTTTTCAGTATTTCTGAGGAAGTCTTATTATTGTAATCTTTACTTTGAAGTGAATATTTATTCTCTACTCATTATAAGCTTACACAGTGATATATTCTATTTCATTGCCTTAAATTTGCACAGTATAATTTATATTTTATTTGTTTTAAAGTACTCTGATGAGTGAATACCCCCCTATATACTAAATTATCTGCTTAATCATTGCAATAATAAATGTTGATTTATATTAATATTAATATTTTATTTATTGTTTTGAGAGTGAAACCTACATGGTTTATCCAGGTAACAATTGTATTTAATGACAAAGTTCTGTGTGAAATTTGAAAATTAAGCAACGATTGAACTATATGTGTATTTTATTTGTTCAAATCTTAAACTGTAAAGTAAAAATCAAATTGACTAATACTTTTTTTTTTTTTAAATGGAGCAAGCAAATACACATCTTGACTCCATGTGAATATTTGCAGTTTATTGGGAAAAATACCTTGAAAGCAATATTTCTTTGTACATATCAATGTACAGATATATTTCTTTCAATTTTCCTGAAAGGCTAGCTTTTCAGGCCTTCAAGTTCACGGTATAGCTTGCTTGGTAGTACTCCAGTCGCTTTCCATGGGGGGGCATCAAACCGCCACTGCAATTGCTTACCTTGCTTTACTAACAGTAAACTTCATGTTCTCCACTTCCTTACAATTTAAATTAATAGCCAAATCCAGTTGAAGATGTATTTACTGAAGAATACCTAACTGGAGAGGATTATGATTCCCAGAGGAAAAATTCTGAGGATACATTATATGGAAACAGAGGAATAGACGGCAGGGACTCTGATCTTCTGGTAGATGGAGATTTAGGCGAATATGATTTTTATGAATATAAAGACTATGAAGATAAACCAACAAGCCCTACTACTGAAGAATTTGGTCCAGGTGTACCAGCAGAAACTGATATCACAGAAACAAGCGTAAGTCAGTATTAGGCTCTATGTCATAGTATCTATTATTTTTGGTGTATTTTCATGTACATCTTGATGTCTTTTCAGGTTTAAAATACAGGTTCTGTTCTTTTGTAAATTGTGAATAGTCATTACTAATAGAACACCTTGATTGACACTTTCTCTTGGGGATTTTTAGGAGTTGTATCTGCTGGCCTCACCACTGGAGTCTTTATTTTAAAGTATAAATCTTGAATAGAATTGAAACCTATGTTTCATGCCATTTATAAGATTGCAACATAATCATTATTATTCTGAATAATATGTCTATTTTCTAATCTTTATGATATTTTATTAAATTTAATCTGATAACACTTCTTAATACCTTGAAATAATGAATTGAGGTCTACAAAAGTCTTTGTCTTACTATGTTTTCAAGCCGCAATCAATCTCATTTCAAGATTCAGTATTGTTTAATATACATTTCTTTTATTTTTGAACAGTTTAAACCTTTAATAACTTTTTTATTAAGAAAACATTTATTTTTAATAGACTGTTTTAAATGTGTTTTGATGGTTAAATTCTGTCTCCCCCACCCTCCTTTTTTAAATTTGAAAATAGCCTTATGTACCTAAAGACATTTAGGCTATTTTGAATGTTTATTCAACAGATAAATGGCCATGGAGCATATGGAGAAAAAGGGCAGAAAGGAGAACCAGCAGTAGTTGAACCTGTAAGTACTCACATAAACACATTTTAAAGTTAGGTACAGTTATTTGATTTATATTATTGGCTACCATCATCTTGGAGCCCTAGTGGCACAGTGGTTAAGAGCTTGGCTGCTAACCAAAAGGTTGGTAGTTTGGTGATCCACCAGCCACTCCCTGGAAACTCTATGGGGAAGTTGTACTCTGTCCTATAGGGTTGCTATGAGTCGGAATTGACTCAATGGCAATGGTTTTTTTTTTAACCATTATCTTAGATTATTACGTATGTTCATGTATTACTACTGAAAATCCTGCTGTCCACAATGTTTCTAATCTGACACAGATAAGTATATTAGTAAGACCATTTGTGGAAGTAAAGTGGAATTGGAAGTTATCTGAGATTTGTCTAGTCTAACTTTATCATTTTACGGCAAAGGAGTATGAGCTCTAAAGGGTTTAAAGTAACTTTTCATAGGTTTCAAATGTTTGGTGGTCGAGCTATAACAGTACATCAGCTCTTGTAGTTTTCAATCCAGTAATTTTTTTTCCTGTGATTTCTAGAACTTGACATTGTTAGAAATATATCTTACATAATTACTTACTTGTTTCATATCCAAATTGTATCAAGTAATAATATAAAAATATATTTTTAAATTTCTCTTCCTCTTCTTCCACAGAAAAAAGTTGTAACTTATTCCAAAAGTGATTTTCTGTTTATATTAATGTTTAATAATAAAAATTTGCTTCTTACCAATATCATAAGTATATTAATACTTATCGGTAAGAAGCAAATTTTTATTGGGAAGCAATTTTACTCTTGTTCCCTCGAATCTACAATCTAGGAAAACCAATTAGAACCAAACTATATGTTTAACTGTCTCAGAACCATGAAAATCATTTTGGAATCTTCAATAACATTAAAAGTAATATGTGTATGTATATGTGTGTGTGTGTGTATATATATATATATATATATATATCTAACAAGATACAGCTTTAAGGACATTGTTAATCATCTACTCTATAAATCCAAAATCTTTAAAGCATGTCATATGCTCACCAAATGTTTTAAAAGTTTTTTTTTCAGAATTAATTTGTTTTTGTTATAAAAATGTGCAACGAGCTTTTTAAATGACAGCAATTTTCAGTAATCTAAAATAGCAGTAGAGTCATAAACCTTTTATAAATGTGTTCTTATCCTGAAATGCTACTCTAGTCTCCTGATTATTTAAGAACTTATTGTATATTTACATCCATTACTTTTGTCTGGACTTTTCTCCCCTTTCCCTGAACAAAGGTGGTTAGCGCTATTTATTTCCACACATTCATTAACATAGCAAATGTTTATGAAGTTCATGGTTTGTGCCAGGAATTATTCTGGGTGATAGGGAAATCTTGACCAACTGTCTTTTCTGTGTCCTTCATGGAAACACTTAACATATTCTCCTTTCTGATATAATTTATCTTAATGCAGTCATGTGCCACATGACGTCTGTTTGGGCAAAGTCCCACCACATATGCATCTGTGGTCCCATATGGTTATAATAGAGTTCAGAAATCCCAGTTGGAGAACAGGATGTAGCAGACATAAACGGACATAGCAAAATGCAACAGCTTCTCACATGTAACACGTGTATCTCATATCTCTTGTATACAAAGTGATTGTGCTGCCAGGCACATAATGGTACAGTACATATACAACCTATAATACATGTATCTTGATAGTCATAATGAATGCCTATGTTACTGACTTACATGTGTACTGCACTTTCTATCATTATTTTAATGTGAACTTTCCCTACAGTGGTTAAGAGCTACAGCTGCTAACCAAAAGGTTGGCAGTTCAAATCCACCAGCTGCTCCTCAGAAACCTTATAGGGCAGTTCTGCTTTGTCCTATAGGGTCACTATTAGTCAGAATCAACTTGCTGGCAACAGCTTTGGTTTTTGGTTTGTTTCCCTACTTACAAATTAAAAGTTTATTGTATAACAGTGTATGCTTCGACTCATAGGCAGCAGCATCCCATCTCATATATCTTGTGTCTCTTGAGTATTGTAGTGTTGTCTCTCTGTTTAATTTTATTTTAAAATATTACTGTGAAATGCATCATGGATTCCCAAAGCAGCAAAACCAGTGCTAGTGATAGCAGCAGTATCCCATATAGCTTTGCTAAGTATATAATATGGTGTCTGCATAATGTCCAAATCGTATAACATCCTATTTCATGGAAAGTATCATGGGTGTTAAGTGACACATGACTGTATTGCTATTTATTTTCTCTAATTATTTTGAAGATTCTTTGAGGGCAGAGATTTCTATCACTTTGAATTTCCTCCTTTCCTTTTAGACAGTAGGAATAGAGAATTCACTTTTTAAAATACAGTAATATAGTACTTTCTTAGTTAAGAGGTTGGGGGCTATATTTCTCTGGTAATGATTCTCTATCACTTTTTATTATAGGGTATGCTTATTGAAGGCCCACCAGGGCCAGCAGGACCTGCGGTATGTAAATGTTTTAAAGTTCTTTCGGCTTCAATTTTTTTTTATATTTATATAAGAGTGCCATTACAGCATTGAATTCATATATTTTAGACTAATTAGAATATAGCATTATAGAGGCAAGCATCTCTTCAGGGAAGCTGGTGGCCTTGATCTCCCTTCTTCACATTTGGCCGTCAAACTGACACTCTTTTGAGTGATCTGGAGTTAAATTTTGTTTTAAATATTTTTTGTAGCCTAAATATCTCTGCATCTTTTAGCATCATTTTTAACTTTCTACTGAAAATTCTGAAAGTAAAGAAAAGACATCCTTATTTTTATAAAAAAGGTATAGATATATGTCTATGTAAGAATGGGATTGAGAGTTCTAGGTTGATTATAAGGGAGCCCTGGTGACACAATAGTTAAGTATTTGGCTGTTAACCAGAAGGTCAGCAATTTGAACCCACTAAGCGGCTCTGAGGGAGAAAAAACCTGGCGATCTGCTCTTGTAAGGATTACAGCCTAGGAGACCCTATGGGGCAGTTGTACGGTGTTCTGTAGGGTTGCTATGAATCAGAATTGACATGAAGGCACACAACAACAACAGTTTGACTGTAGCTGTGTTATCTGTACTAATTTATTTTCCATTGCCGTTTCTTAGTAAGGCAATGTCACTTAGTATGTCTTTATTCAAACTAGTTGTACTGATCTGACCTTATAAAAAAATTCCTCTCTCTTTTGTGGAATTAAATTCTTGTCATCTGAAGTAATATATGATGCTGATGCCTTTAAATCTTTGCTATCCATAAAAGAAAATGTAAAAATGCCTTCAAGCTAAATGATTTCCATTTTTTCAACTTTGCTCTCACATTTTTGAGGTCTAGTTTTATGAGTAAACCATTTTTTCAGTGAGAACTGGGAACCGACTTCTACCTTGGGGACTTTATATTGGCACACCCTCCTTTCCTGCTTTTCCTTGGAATGTCTGCCTCCTCCCTGAGAGCAGCTTCATAGAGGAACAATGGAGCTAGCCATAAAGTGGTTCCTATATGTTGTCTTTTCACAGAGAGGTAAATAGGGCAATTGTTTGGGAGACAAGTGTATATTTATGAAACACAAATGAGCTCTTCTTTGATTTTAATGGGACAAATTTTCTTGAATACTAATGAGGTTAGGAACCTGACTCAGATCATGGCTTATTTCTCCATAGGGTCTTATGGGTCCTCCAGGTCTACAAGGCCCCACTGGACCTCCTGGTGACCCTGGTGACAGGGTAAGTGAAGTATTACCTCATTACAAAAACATGTAATACAGAATAAAAGAATTAAAAAGTATTCTAGAAGTTTAACATGTTATCCTTCTGGGCGGGGGGAAATGTCTATTAATTCCCTGTTGTATAACTTTTTAGTTAGTTTTTCTAGCTATAATTTTAATAGAAAGATTAAAGAATGTGCATTTATCTGCGCTATAATTAATAAGCAAACTTTTATTCTCACTCATTTTCCAATGTGATAGGAATCCTTTACATTAGATTCAGTCCTTCAAATCCAAATCCCACGTATGTTCCTGAAACTCTCGTAGGTATTTAATTAGATGCTGATAGAATGAATTAATAAGCCTGAAATTCTGATTTGAAGATCAATTCCTAGGTCACATGGTGAAACAGGTCAAGTTTTCATTAAGTCTCTCCAGTCTCTTCTTGTAAAAGCCTTAAAGCCTTTTCCCATTTCTATTGTGCTTTGCTTTTTTTCTTCCCTCTTTTTCCCCATCCTTGAATAGCCAATATATTCGTGGATTTTTGTTTTTGCTTTTACCCTTTTTAAAATAGTGCTTAGAAAGGGTCAGACATGTAAATGACTGATAATTTTTATACGTTTACAATTAAAAGGCAAACCCTCTTTTTAGTTTAGGCTCAATGAATACAAGATTTTATCATATTTCAGGAAGTCTGACCTGGATGGTAGCTATTTAAGGTCAGAGGGCATAAGCAATGTACTATGAAAATGTGACTTCTTACATGATCTCACTTAATCTGGAATGTCCAGTTTGGTGTAGACATTTATTTGTAACCAGTCACCTTAATTAATATTTTCGTTTGTAAATTCTTTAATAATTTTTTAAGAAATTTTGCAGTATAACTTACTGACTTTAAAACTCTATTCCAGGTTATAAATTTATATCTTTACACTGTTCCTTAAAAATACAGACATATAAATGAGCAAAAAAAAAAGAGACAATGTTTTATGAAGGAGAATTTATACCTATCAACCTAGATTTGTTAGGATTTGAAGTAATGATTTGCTTATAGAAGCAGGTGTTTTACCTTTCTGTGAAAGTTTTTAAAGCTTATAGAGAACCTATTTAGTTTATATTAGAAATGAAATAGAATCCTGTCAATCTAGAGACAATGTTATAGTCAAGATGTGTTAACTTTTATAAGAAATTAACATTTGAAAAGTGTTGCTGCAGAGCTTTTATATTGAGTGCATGGTTTGAGTTGTATCTTTTGTATCTATTTATTAAGTTTAGAATTTACCACCCCCAAGTAGGACTGGATTGTCAAAAAATAAGCCTACTTATATTGAAAGCTTATGAACATATATTTTGTAACTATGAGTCACCCTACTCATGTATAGATGCATATATATTTCATATTCTGTATAATGATAGATATGTTTTGTGTTTCTAAACAGATACCACAGTCATATATAAACTACATGTGCAATATCTCATCAAGCATTCAAAATAAATTATTAATTATTTATATTGTAAAGAATACTTAAATATATTTTAAATAAATCTTTTATCATTTACTTTGGACTCTGTCTTATCTAACTGCAAGATCCAAACTTGAATCACTCACTTGATTCTCAAGTGCTGATTCTCCCCAAAATATACATGAACTTTGTATCTTATATAGTTTGAGGCTCTGAATAAACTCAGAGCAAAATTCTTATCTTAATTGGATTATGCATTAATAATCAGACATTATTAAAATCACCTAAAACTAGTGCAATAAAATACAACCCTTTCTAGGTATATTTTCTTGAAGAAGATTAACCAAGATGGAGCGAGCAAATGCAAAGTAAATTGTATAGAATTATGTTAATAAAAGTTATTCTACTTGTAATAAATGTTGATTATTTTATTATTTATTTAATTATGCCATTTACTTTCCTAGGGCCTACCAGGACGTCCTGGCTTGCCAGGGGCTGATGGTCTGCCTGGCCCTCCTGGTACCATGTTAATGTTACCGGTAGGTCCTTTTATTATTATAAAGATGACTTGATATTTTGCCACCTTGTTCCTGAAAATATTGTTGAACCATATTACAGAACAATCATCTAAAAACCATTCTATGAGGTAGAGATACTGGAAAGCAATCTGATTGTAGGAAATTAAGGGAAATTTTACTAAACAATAAAATTCTAATAAATATCATTATTTGCATTAGAATCAAGGTTACATTATTTGATTTGACTCCTGGTAACAAAGGTTAGAGGTTTTTAAAAAAATATTTCCAATCATGCGGTTTATCCTGATTCTTATCATTGACATACATTTCAAATGTTACTTAAAGTAATATTAATATAATATTTATCACCATATACACTATAATTGAAACTGTCTAAAGATATGTCATTATCCATTATTCAACACTTATTCAGTGAAAGATTCCTTTTTAAGGTTATTTGACCCAGTGATCTGAAAAAAATTGTATTTGATTTATCAAGGTAAACATAGTAAAGTTTTAAGAAATGAATACTTAGAGTGAAAAATTGACTCATAATTCATTTTGGCTTGAAATTAAAACAGAGTTTTAGAAATTTTTGGAGGAGTATTAAGGTGGATCACTTTTCCAGTAGAATTACTTGAGAACAGGTAAACAAAATGAATATATATCAAGGATAATTTTCTCTATATTCATGGTGAGTCTAAAAGTTTTGCTCAACTAAATAATGACTGATCTATAACCACTGTCAAACTTAGTACATTAAAAATTTTTACAAATGAATGAAGGAGTATTTTCTTATATATGTAAAAAAATGAAAAATGGTTTATTTCAGAGTTTTTAGAGATTATAGAATTTAGAATTAGAAAGGAGTCTCTAATATGTTCCCGCTACAAGTGGTGAATTGTGGCCTAGAGATTTTTCACAAGGGGCAGAAGGAGAATTTAAAAAAAAAAAAAAAAAATTCCAGATCTTATAACTCAGTATGGTTTCCTTGGACTTTTGTAAAATCCCAATATTTTAAGTAAATGGTTTTCTTCTAGTAATCATGACATCTAAATCCAACATATTTGGCAAAGGCTAATTTTGAGTTTGTCGTGTCATCTCTTCTTAGTTTCGTTATGGTGGGGATAGTTCCAAAGGACCAACTATCTCTGCTCAGGAAGCTCAGGCTCAGGCAATTCTTCAGCAGGCTCGGGTAAGAAAGGACAAACAAGTCTTCCCATATCATAACCTAATTCTGTCAAGCCTGTGCTCTGTCTATGTGTTTGTGTGTCTGTGTGTGTGTGTCTGCTCATGGGATATGCTTACAGAATACTTACTCTGAGTAATATATTGAATTTAGGTGGAAAGAATAACAAAATTATATTTTTTCCCAGTAGTGACATTTTCTTTACTTAAATATTACAGTTTAATAAACTGACTACAATATTGCCATCTATAATTCTGGCTGCCTACCACAATAACACAAATTTTCTATTTTTATTCAAAGAATATTGATGGATTAGAACTTAGCACTGCATGTTTTTTACATCCAGTTATTTTCCTCCTGTAAAGTGTAAGTCAATGATTGGTGGATAGAATTAAGAGAATAACATTTGAAATAAACTTTTTGCCCCTTAATTTTCTGGATTCTGGACATCTCAAATAATCCACAAAATTAAGTTTCTTAGACATTCTTTTGTATGAAAGAAATAAACCTTGAAATATGTATCCAAGGTATAATTTTATAATATTTTTTAAAAAGCTATTAAATATGAACTCATCTTCAGTTTATAATCCTTTATAAATTAAGAATTACCATTATCTGTAGGCTTGTAAGTAGCCCTGGTGGCGCAGTGGTTAAGTGTTTGGCTATTAACTTAAAGGTCAGTAGTTCCAATCCATCAGCCACTCCTTGGAAACCATATGGGGTGGTGCTACTCTATTCTATAGGGTCACTGTGAGTCAGAATCTACTCGATGGCAATGGGTTTGGTAGACTTATAAAACATATAATTACGTTTTTTTAAATTAGACACACTGCACTTAAAATATGTATAAGAAAATCAGAAGAATATATCAGAAAAGAATTGGAAATTATATAATATTTTTATTCCTAGTAATTGATTTTCTTTTTAAGGAAAGGAAATAAAGGCTTATGGTTGATATGCATATGGTACCCACTTCCTAACTGATATAATTTAGTCTGTGGTAACATTTTATTAATAATCACAAATTTATATGTATATACCATACTTGAAAACATAAGTGAAAGTTGTAATCCATTCTTAATATTTGTTTACATATTTCTTAAGTCTGTTAATCTGTAAAGATGTCATTCTTTGGTTACATCATATATAAAGGTAGTAAAAAATTTAAATATTTATTAGATCTTGGGATAATACAAATCTAAATTATTTTTAAAATTATTAATTATTCCTACAATTTATCCTATAAATTATTTTACTTTGAACAAATTTAAGGTACTTATTTGAGCTTAAATATTTTATGAGGTTGTCGAATTCCTCAGTTTATTAGTCCTCCTACCCTACTTGAAAAATAGGTAGCAAGCATTATAATTCCAATTTTTCAGATATTTAATCTCAAGAATTAAGAAGTATATTGCAAAATCTCATGGTGAGTCAGTAGTGGAACTTTGGGGATTCTACTGTTTTCATCTTGTGCACTTTTCTAATATAATTGTGCATATTATTTCTATTACAGCATTATTATTTTTGATGACTGTTACCATGATAAATGTAAATATTCATCTGTCAGACACACTAATATTAAAAAATAGCACATCATACTAATTTAACATCTATCAAATTTTTATTCCTTGTATTCTAAGTGATCCAGCTTTTCAAGTATGCTAATTTCACATTTCTAATATTCACTGTAACAGTAGTGCATGTAATCATTCCATTATACCTATGATTATGCAAAATAAGTGTATTTTTCTATATAGCATTAAATTTCAAAAATTTGAGATTTGTTAAAAGAAATGTATTATCATAACACTCCCTGATCAGTTTTGCTTTTTACTGTATGGTTTTAATTATCATAGTTTTTCCTAAAATGTTGCTGGAAAAAATTTTATTCAAAGCATGTCAAATTCATCACCACTAAAAATATTTTCAGTGAGAATTGTACCTATGTATTTAAGAGCAGAAGTCTGTACATTATTATGAAGTACACTTCAGAAGAGTAAATTATCATGTGTTACATTTCTTGTTTTGAAATCTACTTCAATTTTTATAATTGAATAAGTCATTATAATATATAGTACAGATTGTATATGAGTTAACAACTACTTAAAAAATTTCTGATACTTATGTAGGACTTTTGTCATTCTAAAAACTTGCAATTTTTTAGTAACCTGGCACTCCTTCTAGCATGTAGCTGTTACATCTGTGTTGATCATGCATTACTTTGGGGTAGCTTGTGTAAATGAATATTGTGTTTTAATATGTTCTTCCAGTAAAGCATCCCTGAACTTGATATATTTTGTTTTCTAGATTGCTCTGAGAGGCCCACCTGGTCCAATGGGTCTAACTGGAAGACCAGGTCCTGTGGTAGGTTACTGAAAAAGATAACATATGTTAAAATTCCCATAGTGCCAATTTCCTGGGCAGCTCCTGCCAGGCATTGTTCATATCTCTGTCTGGTGAAAGCAGGGTATATATACCTACTTATGTCTTATTTTGAGTCCATTTAAAAGTCTATTTCAATTCAGTCTTCTGTAAATTTCCACGAAAAGGTTTTCAATGAAAAAATGTTAAATAAATAAAATGAACCATATAATTGAGACATATATCCAACTATTAATTTCTCAAACTATAAATACGATAATTGATTTGCATAATATTCAGAGTTACTAAAATTCAGTTTTACATTAAACAGAATTTCACATCAAACAAAGAAAAGAAGTATTGGGGTCCAGTGAAAATTGTTACATAGTCTTAGTGCCAAGAAGGATACTTGATTTAAACTACAGGCTGCCTCCAGTATTCCACAGGTGCTTCAGATATTAGAGAAATTCTTTTCTTTTTTAGATACTCTTGGAATGTAACAGTGTTTGTAGAATACATACTAAGATGCTCCTAATTGTTCTTCTAAAATTTGTTTATTATTTTTTTTAATTTACCAAATTTTAAGCAGTGTAGCAATTGACAAAAATCATGAAGATAATTTCCCAATCATGATTTTCTCTTTAACTGAAAACTGCAGGATTCAATACAAAGTTCTCATTAATTTCAGAATTAATAGAATAAATACTTAATTTCTATTTCACGTATTTGTTTTTCAACATATAAAATTCTCTCATATGATTTCATCTGCTTTTGATATGCTTTTTTGAAATAAAGCTATGTATAGAATTTGTTACTCTGAAAGTTAAAATCTTATCTTTGATGTACTTAGTAGACAACTTATAGGAAAAGAGTTTTTATTTGATTTTGAATCAAGTGATTAGTGTTCTAATTATTTAATTGTTTCAGTAATCAGATTTGGATTACAGATAGTTTTCTTCATGAATTTTATTCAGTAGTTCATTTTGTAGTTTTATACAAAGTTATATGTTTCTTATTCAAACTTGAAATTTCCCAAAACTTTATGTATTTTGAAGGGCTGTACATTGAATCATATGCGCTCATGTGGAACATGTATTCTAGTGATATGTTCCACAGAATTGATACCATATACATGTGTAAATACATTATCAAGAGTTTATCATGTATTTTTCCTTTTCTGCCTTTCAAAAAAAACAGTAAGAAATATGGAAGCGCCCTGATGGCCTAACAGTTAGTTAAGTGCTTGGCTGCAAACCAAAAGGTTGGCGGTTCAAACCTACTCAGTGGCTCCACAGGATAAAGACCTGGCAATCTGTTTCCCTTAGATTACAACCAAGAAAACTCTATTGGACAGTTCTACTCTGTCACATGGTTTCACTATGAGTTGGAATCAACTCAAAGGCACACAACAACAGCCACATGGCCTATATCAATTTATAAAGGAGGAGATAGAGTTAGTATTCAGTGGATTGTTAGTGATAGATCAAATTTACATGGCTGAGAAACTTCATCATTACGCTACTGTTTCAGCAGCTTTGGGGCAGAAGAATTCCTAGGTATTTTATTAAAAGTAAAAGTTCCTGGGACTGCCAGCAACATGGCACTCTAGGCAGAAGCACTACACCATCCCTCCACAGCAAAGATCTGAAAAACTAAGCCAAACAGAGAAAACAGCAATCTGAAACCCTAAAACATCAAATAAAGAGGTAAAGAACTTAGCCAAGCCCCAAATGGAGTGAGAAGCTCAGAGAGAACAGAGAGCAAGGAGAGATTCATGCAGAGGTCCCCTATCAGCTAACGCAGCACAGATCCACCATCTTGGACTCCTATCAGAGACCAGCAAATAGGGGGTACAAGAAAGCAGCTTCACGGAGCTTCCAGCAGGTCACAGAACAACCGGTAACTGGCAATATATGCTTTCCCACCCTCCACCCTTCTTCACCCCCATTCGGCCTCCTCTGCTTCCCACGGCCACAGTCTCTTGGCCGGGAAGCAACAGCTGCTTGGATTCCACCCACCTGCACTGGCCGACTCCCTGAGTGCCATTTGTTGGCTGCTGGTGTTGCTTTTTTCCACTTCTTTTGATTTCTTCCTTACCTCTCATGACCTCCCCCACCTTTCGCTGAAATACCTGGCTCCCTGCCCCATCTTTGTTTCTTCCTGGGGGGCTGCGGAGCTCTGTTCAAGTGTGGAACTGCTTCCCGGTCCATGCTGCCATGCTGATGGGATCCTGGGGCTTTTTTAATGTTTGTTTGTTTTCGATTGTTTGTTGGTTTTCTTTTTCTTTTCTTGACTTGAGTGCTGGTTCTGGCCAGGTGGTGCTCTGCAGCTTGGGACCTACCCTTCGGCTTGCGCAGAAACGCAGAGGGATCCCTGAGGACATTTCTTTTTTTGTGATTTTTTTTTCCCTGCTTTTTGGGGGCTTTTCTTGTTCTTTTTTTTTTTTTTTTATTTGTTTTGTTTTCTTTTCCCTCTTTTTCCCTTTTTGCATTTCTTCATTACTCAGTTTCTCGTCTCTCTATATCTTCTTTCTCTTCCTGTCCGCTAAATACCTGGTGCTGAATACCTCTACACCTTCTAGCCAGGCTGAACTTCAACACCTGGGAACAACTTCCCCAGACCTCATAGCTGCACCAGTGGTTTCCCAGGGAGCTTTGCTATTCTTTTTTCTTCCCAATTTTTATTTATTCATCCTTTTCTTCTTCCCTTTTTTGTTTTTCTCCGTTTCATAGTGTCTCATCGCTCCACTCCAACGGCAAGCTCCTCTAGCACTCTTTTTTGTTTGTTTGTATGTTTTTGGCTCCTGTTCCTCTCTCCTCTCTCCCATACCCATCTTAGCTCCACACATCACAGTCTCCCCCCTCCATCCTGCCTACCTGCACTGAGCGCTTAACATCACACCACCAAGCAGCACGGGCACGGCCTACTAGAACCTGCCCTGTACTGATTACTGACCCACCCTGGTGGCTGTAATAAGTGCCACAAACAACCCATCCCAGCAACTCCTCATCAGCTAGACCTGCCCTGCTGCAGCATATCTGAGCGACTGACCCTGCCAATTGGAGAAGGAGGTGAAAAGTATTATCCCCACCGATGAGCAGACAACAAAGAACGAACAGCCCACCTGCTCAGACATAGCCAAATAAAAAAAAAGGATGAAACAAACAAATCTATAATCAATAAACGAGAAAAATAACTACTAAATGCCCCGAAGACAGCAGAAAATATCAAAACATTT